CACCCCATGTGATTAATGGTAAAATAACATGCTTGCCCTTCAAATATTTGATTAATTATGTATTATATTTAGTAAAATTAAATAAAATTTAAAGGTAAAATAAAATAATTATCTAATTTTTATTGATATTTTATTTATTAATTTTTTTAAAATATGTTTTTATAGATTTTTTATTGATGTTTTATTTTAAAATTTTATTGATATTTTATTTAATTTAATTATTTAATTATTATTTTAAATATTTTTATTTTAAAAAACAACATAAATTTTATTGATATTTTATTTAATTTTTAAAAAAAATAAAATAACGTGAATTTTTATTTAATCTAGCCAAAAAAAAAATTAAATATTAAAGACATGTTTAATATTAGGGGCACTTTTTCGTATATCTCTTTTCACCTACTTATGTTCCATTTAGTCCATATTATTTTCTTATATTCTAATAAGTTCTATGAGTGATATAGTTACCAAAATATCCCTAATAATATTTACATTTACAGTGTGAATGTTCCATGATGTAAATGTTCACACCATCAATATGAATGTTTACATGTCAATATGAATGTTCACACTATCAATGTAAACATTCACACGTCAATGTGAATATTCACATTGTAAAATATAAATGTTTACATCGCGAAATTACTAATCATTCAAAAAATATTTGTAAGGGTAGAAATGTCTATAAAATATTTTAAATATGAAAATTAGGATTTGGTAGATCAAATGTTCAAATAATAGGACTTATTGTAATATAAGAATATCTAATGGATTAATTGGGATACAAACACTTGAAAAAAGATTTTCTAATAAATCTACCTTAATATTAGTATTACTTAGTAAATAATTGAAAATGATAAAATAATTTTTTGAACATTTATAATTCTTCAGAAATTCCTAATTAAATATTAAATTCAATAGGATAGTTATTTTTAGAGGTAATTCTATTTCCACACACCAAATCCTTTCAAAGCACATCTTTCTCTCTAAACACACAATGAATTTGAAAATTTATAATTTGCTTAATACACATCTTACCCTATTAAAAACACCTTCATATTCTTCATCATTTAAACCCTAACCCTAGATCTCTAATTCTTATCTTCTTTATTCATCATCAACCAACCACTACCTCCTCCGCCGAAACTTGTACCGCCACACCACCGCCACTCATACTACTATTGTCTTTTGCCGTTATTACCAATCCATTTACTCTACAACGTCTAGTTTCACTATCCACTATTTCTTTCTAAACCTTAGGCACCGCAACCCTCATATCTACACCGCCCCATTTGTCAGGAATATGAGATCTTTTAATGAAGAGGTCAAAGTGGATGACGTCAAAGACGAAATTAGGAAAGATAGCGTTGTAGAAAGAGTAGTGAATGTCACCTCCGCTAAGGTAGTAGTGAGAGATTACAGCTTAGGAATTAGGGTTTTGAATGAAGAAGATAAAGTTATTTTGATAATTTTAATTTTAGCCGAAATTATAATAAAAAAAAGATTCATTAGGTATGTACACAAAGAGTATATAGTGTGTGAAAACAGAATTACTCTATTTTCAGACATAAAATTTCATGAAAAAATAAATATAAAATATACATCATTTTCAACTAAAAAATACAGAGGCTATATGTATCTAAAGAGTAATATTTCGATAGATTGCAATAAGTATTTATCCAATCTATCTAAACAAATATCTCCTTATTATGTGACAGATATTCAAATTGAATGGACCAATCATCTTGCCACGTGGCATGTAGAGTAAATATTGGTTACAACAATGTACAAACCTATGAAAGCTATGTGACTGATGAAGATCACTTGGTTGTTGGTTAAGTGGAAACAAAGTCAAACTTTTCGCAGAATATTTTTAATAAAAGAAAAAAAAATACAAAATATGTTTCACAAATTTCTTACTAATTGACACAACGTGTAATTTTTGTTTTATTATGAATTTGCCGTCACTAATCAAAACAGTCCTGGTATTTATTTATTTTCAAAGATAGACCAAAAATGGCCATCCTTAGGCCTTGTTTGGGTTGGACCTGAGTAAATTTTAATTCCCCACGGCAGGGTACATAAGTTTGAACATTTTTACATATTTTATTCATTTTTTCATACATTTTAATACATATTTATAAATAAATAAATAAAATAAAAATTATTAACAGCTCAAAGAGCTGTCATTAATTGTTCTTTTAAAACAAAATTTAAAATAAATATGTATGTAGTCAACTCCATGAAAAAGCCTGGAATATACCAAGAATTAATCCAAATCAAACCAAACACTTTAGAAAAGGGCAAGGAAATGCTCTTACACAATCATTATGCTATAAAAATTGAAAAAGAATTATATGACAATAACATTATTGAAAATATTGCTCAATTTGATGAATTTTTTATGTTAAAATAATAAAATTAAGGGATTGTTTGGGATGTTCTAAATAAGTGCAAAAGTTGAGGAAAAAAATATGATTGTTTGGATTAACTTTTTGACTTTTTATGAAAAAATGTGTATTAAAAAATTATATAAATTAGTATGTAGGAAAAATTAAGATTGAGAATTGTGCAGCCGTAATTGTTAACTTTTTATGAATAGTAATAACTTTTTAATTTTTTGAGTAACTTTTTGGCCACATGCCAAACTTGACCTAAAACTTGTCACATTTTTTATATTAAATTTTATATAATATTTTTTTTATATAACACTAATCAAAGAAAAATTGTTCAACTGACAATAATAATAATAATAATAATAATAATAATAATAGCAATAATAATAAATAAGTGAAATAGTCCCAGCCCAGGTTTTGGACTCCACGAACAGAGTCTAGCCATTGGTAATCCCTTGTAATCCAATCCCAGCAAATAAGGTTGACAAATGACCCCCCATGGCAAATATGCAATGTCGACCCAGGGTTTTGACCACTTGTACTAGAGATTCTGTCAAGAGTCACACTGATGAAATACCAAAATGTAACTAGAATGCTCCTCATATTTTTCCTAGTCAGAAAATGTGAAATCAAAAAATAGAATTAATAAGATTACAAATAAAATTATAATGAACCAAATAAAATATTAGAGAATCGAACACCCAAATCAGTGTGTGTGTGTGTTTTTTTTTTAAGCCAATTAGTATGAAATTAATTACAAATGTGCAAAAAATATTCTATTAAACACCACAAAACAATAATAATCCAGCCCAAAAAACTAGAACCCCAACAACCACCATGATAAAAACCATAATGGTTTACAAAATAAACAACTTAATACAAACCCTTTAATTATAAAAAAATGATCAATCTGTCTTGAACACAAATTCACACTTAATCCCCTAAATAAGAAAATGTACAACCAATTAAGCTAATCAGTTCTCAATTAATTTCCTAACAAAAATGACCAAAATGACTCAATGATCAAAAAATAAACACAATTAAATTCCCCAGTTTGATTACTCGATAACCTTAACTTAACCAACCAGAGCACCAATGCTTTATGTTGCCATTTCACAATTAACTTTATTAATTAATTATTTTTAACTATTTTAACTTAACTTGCTTTAAAAAGTCAATTACAAGTTAAATTATTAACTTTTTTCAAAAAAATGCGAAAAAAATATTTTTAAAAAAATATAAGGCAAATTACATATACCTCCCTCGAGGTTTAATTAAATTACAAATACCCCTGAGATTTGCAAAATTATAGATATCCCTTGAGGTTCACAACAAATTGTCCCCTAATTTATTATGAAAATATAACTTTCAGAGAGGATATCTGTAATTTCTCAAACTTCAAAAAATATCTATAATTTAACTAAACCTCAAAAAAGTATATGCAAAAATATATAACATTTTATCTCATTAAGGTTTGGTTTAGGAAATAAGTTAACTTTTTGACTTTTTAATTTTTTTTTTGATTATTTTAGCCTAGGCTAAAAAGCTTAATTTGAAAATGACTTTTTAATTTTTTTGACTTTTTTTATAAAAATAAAGTATAATAATTATGAATTAAATGTGATATTTTGTTAATTGTAACTAAAATAACCTATTTTATTTTTTATAACTAAAATAGCCAAAAAAACTTACAAACCTTCTTCCCAAACAGTGCCTAAGTTTATTTTTTTAATACCTTTTTAGCCAGAAAAACCCTTACAACCTTTAAGGAAACACAACAGGATTAAAATTATAAAAACAATTACAAATTAATGATAAATTTTATCAATATTAAGGATTAAAATTAAAGTAATGTTAGAAATTATAAAAAAAATATCATAAAATCCTTCATGAAAATTTGTACTCCTTTAATTAATGTGTGGTATTTTTTTATGTATAATCTAACAGTAAAAAATCTTTCATAATCATTTTCATAATACCTAATATTACTCTTAAAATTATCAAACTTTCCACGTACATATAATACTTTTTCATGAACACGAGGGGTAAGTTAACCAAAACAATACGTAATCATAGTATATATATATACACAATACATTTCTGACAACGTGTTATATAATTAAAAAATATATATGATAAATTACATTAACCTCTTAAAGTAACCAAACCATTTGTGGAGTGATTTCAAATTCATTCAAGCAAACATGACATAAAGAGTATAATATACTAAAGTTCAATCATATGATCATTGAAAATGATTTCTTGAATAATGACGTTCCACCTAACAGAAGACATGATATAAAAACAAACCTTATCCAAAATCTCCACAATAGAAACTTGCAATTTTGATCGTACCAATAATAGAAATTCTCATATACACCCTCTCAAAAATATATATCACATATATTTTTAATTATATTATTTTTTTCTTTAATTATTATTAATTTCCTATAATAAAAAAATACATATGATGCGCAGAAGGCTGTAGGGTTTCCCACCAACAATGGATACTTGCACTTTCAATCAAACATATATATATATATATATTTAGCATGAGTAAATAATTGAAAATGGAAAAAGAAACCATGAATTGCAACAATAAAAAAACACAACAAAAAAAACCTAGCTTAACCATTAAACATGAAAAGATGATCATAAGTACATAAACCATATATATGAGTGAGTGAGAGAGAGAGCTCCAGGAGTCCCTGAAACCAATTCCATTTTTTTTTTCCTACCCAAAAATAAAGACAAAAAACAAAAAGATGGAACAACTATTAATCTTGGATAAACTAGTCATGGTGTTCTAGAAAATCCAACACAAACTTGCCCCAATCTTCTTCACCCACTTGCCTTCCCACCTACTCGTCATCATCTTCTTCCTACAAAATGGCAAAAATCAAATCATTCTCTCAATAATCGTTACTAACTAACAGGTTCACAAACTAAAACAAGCTTCAATTTTTAACAGAAATTTGAATCAAAACTAACCTCTCCACTCTCGTCGTCTTCGTCATCCTCATCATTCACCTCCGACCTCGACTTGTCAGACTCTTCGTCATCAGCTGGACCCTCAGCCTATACCAACCATTATTGCAAATAATCAAATAATAATTTCCTAAAACATCTAGGGATTGATTGAAAAATAGTAAATTAATTGAATCATGAAGAATATTACCATTTTCTTGTTATAAGCTTCAAGAGTTTTATTGTATTCGGTCTTCCTTTTCTCTGCCTTTGCAACGTAGGGAGCTTTCTCCTAATTTTTTCAAAACATAAAAATTGAACAACAATAACAAGTAAACATATTTGATTTCAGAGAATAAATCAAAATCAAATCATTATTTGGAATTGAATTACTCACAGCTTCTGACAAAGATTTCCATTTATCTCCTCCAGCCTTACCAACCTAATTCACATTCCAAAAACAATCAAAATTGAACAAAATCCACAAATCAGAAATCTGTAAAACAAAAGAGGTGAAAACACTCACGGCGGCTACGGATTTGTTGTTAGGATGCTTCTCTTTGTACGTTTTCCTAAACTCCTCCCTAAAACATTTAAAAAAATATTCATTGACGCAGAATATACAGATCTAACAACGATTTTCATGCGAGAGAAAGGAAAATATATGATTACATGAAAACAAAGAAAGCACTAGCAGGCCTCTTTGGCTTGTTAGGGTCCTTGGCAGCCTTCCCCTTCTTCGCCGCTGGCTTTTTACCAGCCTTCTCGCTCGGAGCACCTCTCTTCACCGAAAGCCTAACAACAAAAAAATCGATCTTCAATACCAAAAAAACACACTCTGAATCACACGCATAATAGATCTCAGATCTAAAAACTCCAAAAACAACAAGGCAAACAAAACTTACTTGCTATCGGTCCTTTTGGTCTCCGTTTTCGATCTACCTCCTTTCATGGCGGAACCTGCGAAGAAAACGATGAGAATCGGTGAGAATCGGTCGGAATCGGATTGACTCGGACTGAGTTGGCGATGCGACGACTTACCTTAAGGTTAGGGTTTCTAGAGACAAAAGCGATAGAGAGAGAGAGAGAGAGAGAGAGAGAGAGAGAGGTGTGGTTTGTGAGAGGGAGGTGGAAAGGGAGAGTAGAGATAAGAAGGGGGAGGGTTTGGGGGAAAATTAAAATTGGAATCAGGAAAGGGTTCGAGTCCGGGTTTGGTTTGGGCGGGATTTCAAAATAGAAAATTAATAAATAAAATATGTGGCCACGTCATCGATCCGTGTTTTTAATAGTTTCTCGCTCGATCTCTCGGCCTCTTTTTTTTTTTTTTTTGGGGTGTGTCGCTCATGTTGTGTTTTCCATTTGTGTTTGTTCTCTTGATTGGGTGTATACGCTACTAACACGTGTCGTTATCTTGTTAATCTTGTCACACGAGTTATCGTTGGGTGCTTTCCAATATGATACTATGAGAAAACAAATTCTATACTAGGAAGGGGTTATTTGGGATGATCTAAATAAATATATTTTTTGAATTTTTATAAAATATAAGTTGGGTTTGAAGTGATGTGTTACAGAGGTGATGTGACTTAAATAAGATGATGTGACTTAAATAGAATAATGACTTTTTGACTTTTTATCTTTTTCAAGACATACCAAACTTGACCTAATTGTGCATGTATTGTTTTTTAAATATTTAAGTTGGCAAAAACACTTATTAAGGTCTCATTTGACAACTGAGTTTTTTAGTAAAAAAATTATTTAATTAATCAAAAAGTTAAAGATTCTCTTTTCTCTCTACTTTTTACACATCTTTTCGTAAAAAGTAAAAAAATCATTCCAAACATACTGGGCTTGTTTGGTTTGATTTTGGAAAAAAAATTTGAAAAAAATTCTCTACAAACAAATTTTCAAAAGTAATCAAACCAAACAAATTTTTTTCAAAAAAAATCTGAAAATTTTGTTTGGTTTACTTCTTTCCAAAATCACTCTCTCTCTCATACACATCAAATCAGTCACTTTTTTTTTAAACTTTCTCTCCAAAACAATTTTCCAAAATTATTTCTAAAAAAAGACAAACCAAACAAGTTTTCGTACTTTTTATCTCAATAACTACTCTCTTAAAATCAAACCAAACATACCCACTAGTTTTTTTTAGCTCATATTTTAGCCAAATATCTAAAAAATTATTAAATTAGTCTGTTCCCAAACGAAGCTTAAGGGAGTATTTTAGGAAGATGGTTAAAAAAAAAATTAATTTTTTTGTGAGAGAGGAAATTGAATTAAAAGCTTGGAAGTAACTTTTAACCCACTTCCCAAAATAGTCCTAAATTGATTTCTTTAAATTTTATTATTGTATAATGCATTAATTAGTTAAAAAATTAGTATTTCCAATCTTTTACTAACTTTTTTTATCGAATTTAATTTTGAATTTAAATATAAAATTTAATTTGATATTAATTATTTTAATTCTTTTATTAAATTTTTGTCAAAATCTTTTTAAAAATTCCTCTCTTATCTCAAATTTTCTTTTTCATCAAATTTAAAAGGAAAAATTAGTTAAACATTCATTTCCAACTTTGTGTAATAGAAGAGATGCAAGATGTTTTTTTTATTAGTTAAGGTTCCTTAACATTTTCATAGATAAAATTTGACTCAAATAAATTTTGTCCGACTCAGAGAAATTCACTCGATCCAATGAAATTTCAAATTTTTTTTTGGTATTCATAGAGAAATTTTGAAATTTCTCTGTGAAATTGTTGGCACCATAAATTTACGATTTTATTATTTAGTATTTATATCAATTGCAGGATATGTGGTATCCTCCTACTTATTTGAAGGTTATGAGCAGTTATGAAATGTAGAAAGATGATGGAGAACAAAGTAGAGAACATGGAACATGAAGTGGAGGTTGAAGGAAGTTATAGAAGATCATAAAGTATGAAATGGAGGAAGTGGAAGAGTGGGTAGTTTTAGATATTTTTTCCTATAAATGTTTGCCTATAAATAGCCATTAATGACTATATTGTAAAAGATCCAAAACTCAAATCAAAGACAATTGATTTATATTTTTCTTGTCATTTATATTTCCTGCACTTTATTTTATGCACTTTATTTTCGAAGCATAGAAGTAGAGGTAAATTTTCTGCACTTTATTTTATGTATTTCCTTTTTGAAGCATAGGAGTAGAGGTAAATTAATGGTTAGTTTGATTTTTCACTCAATCATCTTTCTCCATCGCATTCCTTCTTTTGTTTTTTGTTTTTTTTCTCTCTACACTTGGCAATTTTGAAGTCATATTCATTGAGGCAAAAAAACCGTCAACACAATTGTTTGATAATTGAATTTAATCTGTAAGAATTTTTCAATCATTGTTGGTACGCTCACATTTATGATATTTTCCTTCATAGGAAAAATATGCAAACAATTTGTTGCACGCCCAATTGGACGTCAAGTGCAAGAAATGAAAAATAAATTGGATTCGTCCATTCTAAATAGCCTAGATGAAGCCTTTTGGCATAAACAAAAAAAATTGGATTTTCAAGAAGAGATCCATTTTCTTGATGAAACAAACTTCCATCCATTACAATATTGTTTGGTAGAAGAAAAAATAGACCATTTAATTGAAGTAATTCATCAACTTGATATGAAAATTTGTCAATGGAGACATGAGTTATTAACCCTTTTATCCAGTCTTCAATAACTGAATTTTGTGGGGTTTTACAAAACGTTTTCAAGTAATTTGTGACTGAAATTAGTGAAAATATAATTTCATTAATGGCTCGGGGGTTCAAGAGCCCGTTTTTAAAGAGCAAAATTATGAAATTAACATAACGAAAGAGCATATTCTTGAGCCAAATTTGGCTAAGAATGATATTCCATGCATGGCTTGGAGGGTCCAAAAACTAATTTTTAAATAGTCAAGTCTTGAAAATAACATACCTATAGGGAATTTTTCATAAGCCATTAATGGCTAACATGGAAAGACAACCCAATTCGACAAAAGTCATGTTTTTAAACCAAACATGGTCAAGAAAAATGAACAAGCCAATGTTCATGAATTCAAAATTTTTGACATTTTTCAAAGTGTCAAAAAGTATAAATTTTCCTGATCACATTATACCATGACTTTTGTTGTTCAAAATCCATTTGGGATTTGTGGATCACATCAAACGTTGACTTTGATGGAATGGCTAACAAATAATTTTTGTTATTGCAATATATTAGGCCAAAAATATGGTTATTAATTGATCCATAAAATCATCATCATTTGGTTTTGTGGTTACCTTCGAAGTATGTCTCAAGACACTTCGAAGCATATTATTAAGAACATGTGAGAGTTGTTAAACCTCTTTTCAAAGGATAAATGGTTGTGTTATTATATGCATTTATTGAAATATCATTTTATAGCCACTAATGGCTAATTAAAATGTCAAACTAATTTCATAGTAATCCAACTCTCTGGATTTGGTTCGAAAAGATGTCGTGAGCAATTTCGAAGGACGACTTTGATCCTTTACTAACATATGTGCCTTTCGAAGGGTAGTTTTGTCATCAATAAACACCTTTGAAATGTAACGTGGGACGAGAAAGCTTTCGAAATGTGTACCTCCCTTTAAATATATGTAAAATGACAATTAATTAATTGTTAAATAATGCATATTTTTTGCATGATAATTAGTGGCTTTACTGATAAAACATTTTTATAGCCATTTGTTACATGAAAATGTAACTAGTATTCTACAAAAGTTGGTTCAAAGAACAACGATTTTGGTGTCTTCGGAGAATTAATAATTGGTTCGAAGCACAAAATTAATATTTTCATTAATTATGTGTGAACCAAAACATACAAAATTTGAATAACCACAATGTTGGCTGAAAGTTGCTTCGAAAACCCTTTTGCCATAATTTTGTAAGCTTCGAAGCATTCTATCTTGCATTAACAACAGCTTCGAAGAAACAATAATGGTGGTTGTGAACCTTCTTTGCCGAGTATTTCCAATGATGTAATTCATCACTTGTCTGCACTTTCGACCTTTGAAGGATGATTTTGGTCCTCTATACCACATTCAAAACTTGTTACTAGTCCTGTACGGGAAAGAAATACATCTTCTCGTATAATCCTGTTGATCAAGTCTGCGCTCCTCCATACGACGTCGCTTTATCACCTGAAAACACAAACGTGAGCTAGCCGGCGGGTGTGTGCCGGAAACCTCTCCGATGCCTAAGTCAGCAAACTTGACAAATAGACAAAGCTCTATGTATGCAGAAAGCAAAGTTGTGTGTTACCTCCTCCAATGTGATGTTTGTGAGCTTTTATAGGTTTCAAGTGGCACAATCCTAGTAGGACTACTACTCCTCCATGTAGAGTCCTCCTAGGATTCATACTCCTGAAAGATAATGCTTATCCTTCCACACCCCCCTCACTGCTTAAACCAAGTGAGATGGTTTTTACCATGGCCGAACTACCATATGACTGAAATAAAGCTGGCTATGCTGAGCCACAGAGTATGCCGAACTATACCTAGTTCGGTGTTTCCTTTTACTCCTCCTTATCTCGGTTCTCTCCTGTTCAACCCATGGTGTGTTTAGACCGAGCTACCGAGTAGCAAGGTTTTGACCGTTCTAACCACAATACATCATGACCGGACTAACTCTGAGACCGGCCTAACTCCAAGTTGCTTCTGGACCGGAGTAACTTTACAATTCTTGTGCCGGAGTAACTTTATCTTTCTTGGGCCGGAGTAACTTTATCTCTCTCGTGGGCCGGAGTAACTTTATCTCTCTTGGGTCGGAGTAACTTTTCGGCCTTTTTACCCAATCCTTCTTTTTACCCAATCCTTCATACTTTGGGCCATAAAGTCCATCTCATAGCTCGGCCCAATTTTCACCAAAAATTACCCTATCAATTGCCCCTTAATTCCATCTGCACAGCATGATTGAGATTACCCGTCCACTAGCCGAGCTGAAGTTTTTAAGCCTTTCCAGCCGAGCTAAAAAACTCTTTAGCCTTCCAGCCGAGCTTATTTCACTCCGGGCTCTACTTGTTCGGTCAAAACGTCTCTTCAATCACAGCAATCACAGCGACTGTAACGCTTCTCTTTCCAATGACACGTGGCAGGCTCTGATAGCCTGGGGGTAATTGTCACGCCGCTCTCGTACTACGAAAAATTTGAACAGTCCCGCCCTTTTTCCATT